GATGTCCACTCTCACCACTGTAATTCAACACCAAGTATTGGAGTCTTAGCCTCAGCAATCAGACAACACAAAGAAATAAAGGCATCCCAAATCAGCCAAAAGAAAGGATTAGGCTTTCACTCTTCACAGATGACATGATACTCTATGTGGAAAACCCAGAACTCCACCAAAAAAAAACTGTAGAACTGATCATAGATTCAGCAAGGATAAAATCAATGCACGAAAATGCAGTTGCATTCCAATACACCAACAATGAAGCAGCAAGAAATAGAAATCAGAAATGGAATCATTTTAATTTGCATAACATGTAAATACACAAGGAATAGAAATCTGGCTAAAATCTATACACTGAAAACTATAACATATGAGAGAAATTGAGAAGACACAAAAAAAATGGAAAAATATTCCATGCTCCTGGGCAAAATATTGTTAAAAATGTCAATACTATCCAAAGTAATCTACATATTCAATGCAATCCCTAATAACACCAGCATTTCTTCACGGAGGCTAGAACAAACCATCCCTAAAATTTGTATGGAACCAGAAAGACTGTGAATAACCAACAATGTCAGAAAAGGAAACCAAAGCTGGGCGTCTGAAATCAGACTTCAAGCTGTATTACAGCTGTAATCATCAGGACCAGTATGGTACTGGCACAAAACAGACCTCAAATCAATGGGAATGAATAGAATCCGAAATGGACCCACAGTATGGCCAACTAATCTTTGACAAAGCAGGAAAGAACATGGAATAAGACAGTCCTCTTCAACCCAAATGATTGCTGGGAAAACTGGACAACGATGTGCAGAAAAATGAACCTACTTCCTTACACCATACACAAAATAAACTTAAAATGAAGAAAAGACCCGATATGTAAGATGAGAAGCCCTCAGAATCCTTGAGGGAGAAGCAGGCAAAACACTCTTTGACCTTGGCCACAGCAACTTCTTAGTAACTACGTCTCTGAAGACAAGGGAAACAAAACAGTGAACTATGTGGGACCTCATCAAAACAAAAATATTCTGCACAGCAGAGGGAACAATCAAAAAAAACTAAAAGGCAATCAACAGAATAGAGAAGATATTTAAATTATATATCAGATAAAAGGGTTAGTATCAAAATCACAAAATTTATCAAACTCCAACACCCAAAAACAAATAATCCAATGAAGAAATGGGCGAAGACATGAACAGACATTTCTCCAAAGAAGACATCCAGAGGCCAACTGGCAGAAAAATGTTCCTTATCACTCATCATCAGGAAATACAAACCACAATGAGATACCACCACCCACACCTGTCAGAATGGCTAAACTCAAAAGAAACAATGGATGTTGAGGATGGGAAGAGGATCTCTTTTGCACTGCGGGTGGGAATGCAAACTAGTGCAGCCACTCTGGAAAACAGTATGGAGCTTCCTCGAAAAATTAAAAATAGAACTTCCCTACGACCCAGCAATTGCACTACTAGGTATTTATCCAAGGGATACAGGTGTGCTGTTTTGAAGGGACACATGCACCCCAATGTTTATAGCCGCACTATCAACAATAGCCAAAGTATGGAAAGAGCCCAAATGCCCACTGATGGATGAGTGGATAAAGAAGATGTGGTGTTAGAGAACAAGAACCCAGAGGCACCGTAAGAATGTCCTAAAGGAAAGGGACAGAGCAGCAAGGAACTGAAAGCAGTTTCATTCCCAGAACGGAAAGCCACCAGGACTGTTCATTCTCTTCAGAAGGACATCATATGGGCATCAGGCTTGGGATAAGAATGTTTTGTCTGGCACCAGATGTACTCATGACCCAGTATGGAATATACTGCAGGTTCATGAC